ATTAGATTAGGAGGGTTAAGTAACTTCACGTAGGTTGGTTACGTAGGTGTAGGATTATTGCGAAAAAAATGATAAATTTCAGCCCAACACAAATGAAAGAAACAGTTTTTCGTTGATAAATTAGGCAACTTGTCAAGAAACCTAGCAAGACGATTAGTTTGGTTCATGGCCATCGGTTTGGTTTCCATATATTAAACCATTGAAGCATCGGTCACTTTCAATACAAAACAACTAAGAGCATCCACAGCCGGACCCTTTATATCTTTCTCAAACACCCAAAACATCCGTTTGGTCCAGTAAAAAAAATATGATCCAACCGAATCCTCACTTTCTCCCTAAACATCCGTGTTGGGACAAACCCACCGGCGACATACGCCGAACCGCCTTTTGGCGATGAACGCCGGACGAAGGTAGAAGAAGATGAACAGAATTTTCTAGCAACGAACGCTCCGGCCGTCGAACGGCATGTATGTTGGCTTCTATTCAACTCAACTACTCAAACACACATACATAGAGCTACACACGCACACACGCAGCACAACCTCGGAAGAACACTCACATCGACTGGGCGCATACCACGATCCCGACCGAGACTACATCTTTCATAGGCCCCTCCCCCTCGGCTCGGCATATACCGTTACCGTGGCGCGGCAACAGACCGGCGTACTTTACATCAATGCATGGGATGAGCTTTTATAGCCAAGCTACACACACCAGCCCACGCACTCACACGACCCAGCCACCACACCGGCCACTAACCCATGCATGCACCATCACACCCGGCCACTAACTCAATTAACTTGGCCGGCACACACACACGCACTAGCTAACAACCTTATCCAGCCGATCTGACCCATGCACTAACTAACCCCACACGACTCATGCGCACACCATGCAGCTAGCTCCAACAGATCGCAACAGCCCCTGTGCATGCAGCTCCTTCACGCCAGGAACGCGAGCATGGACTCACGTCGGCACACACCCCGTGCCCACCATGGACCAGAACTGTCGCGTCGACGCCGGTCATCACCGCACGGGCACGGGCATGGCTTATTGCCAACAATCTGGATGGACCGGCGTATCTGAAATCCGTCTAAAATCTGAGGGCAATATGAAGCTGCCCGGTTACGCCCGGGCACCTCCACTCGACCCCACATGCAGCCACTCGACCCGTCTCTCTCTCTCTCTCTCTCCACTGATGCACCCCGTTCTCCGCGTGCTGGCTGCCGTGTGCGCGCCGTTGCACGCGCTGGCCGCCGTGCGTGCCAGCCGCTACGTCCTCGCCGCAGCCGTCCGCAGCTGCTGCCGCCGTATGCTGGCCGGTTGTGAGCGTGCGTGCTGGCCGCCTTTGCGACCGCGTGCGGGAGGGCGAGCTGGTCGCCGTTTGCGTGCGAGAGGGTGGGCTGGCCGCCGTTGCGGTCGCGTGCGGGCCGGCATGCGAGCTCGCCGCCACAGCTGCCGCGTGCAGAAGAGTGGGCGGGCCGTCGCGTGGGTGCTCACGCAGTCGTGGAGCCGCGCGCTGGCCGGTCGCCGTCGCGTGCGGGAGCGTGGGATGGCGGGCTGGCCGTTGTTGCGATCGCGTGCAGAAGTGCCGGTGGGCCGTCGAGCCGCGCACCGCGAGTACGCGCTGGTCGCCGAGCCGCATGCTCGCGCTGGCCGGTCGCCAAGCCATGCGTACGTGCTCGCGCTGGCTGGTCGCCAAGCTGTGCGTACGTGCTCGTTGGTGCTAGCAAGCTTAGCACTGGCTGGCCGTGTGCTCGTGCTGGCGGTCGATGTTGGTGCAAATCTTGTTACAAAGGCAGGTTCAGATATTGCATTAGTCATTAGCTTCATGCATTAGTTGAGAAGGTTAGCTCGTACGTGCACGTGACTGCAACGTGTAGATACGCGCTAAGTAGTTGATTCCTAGCTGAATAATAGGGCCATGCAGCGTGAGTTTGTTCACGACTTGGCATAGTATACTTGGACTTTCTGTTAGATAGCTAGGCCACCGCAAGCGGATCGTGGGATGGCACGACTGCATGTTTGCGTGATGGCAAGACCACGACGATGGGGTGGACGTGGGATGGCACAGCCGACTTACCCATTCTGAACTGATTTTACGTTTCAATTCTCTTAGCGCATAATAAGAGAAGAAAGAAAGAAAAGGGGCAAGCAGTTGGGCCTCGCAAAAAACCAGTGTTTGTCTTCCTTTCTCCTTCGTTCGTCTCCACCGCTCGCTTATGTAGCCTCGCGCCTTTGATCCAACACTTGGTATACAGAGCCTGGTTGTGGCCGGAGGCGAATCGGCGGCGGTGTGTAGCAATGGGAGATCAGTCACCGACGAAGAGCAACACTGGTGGTGGCGGAAAGTACACGCCGCCGAGCAAGAGGCTCGGAGCCAGCGGCTCCAGCGATGGGACGGTCGTCGTGGCCGCGCCGACGAGGAGCGTCGGAGTGTCGATTCGGTACCCCTAGCTGACTGAAAGCAATTATCAGTTGTGGGCGGCGAAGATGAAGATCATCCTCAAGCCAATGGGCGTTTGGTCGGCGATCACCGGAGAAGACGTCGATGAGGCCAAGGACCAGGGAGCCATGGCTGCTATCTCGCAGTCGATTCCCGACAACGTGATGATGTCGATCGTGGAATACGAGTTGGTGAAGGAGGCTTGGGAGGCCATCCGCACCATGCGTATCGGTGATGAGCGTGTTGTGCAGGCACGCATCAGTCACCTCACAAGGCGTTCTGAGCGCCTGACCATGGAAGGAGGTGAAGACGTCGGTGCATTCGGGCGCCGGCTCACCGCGCTCGTCGGAGAAATTCGAGCGCTTGGCGAGAACATGCAGGAGCACGCCGCTGTTAAGCGGCTGTTCGCGGCGGTCCCAGATTGCTTCTTGCCAATAATAGGGACGATCGAGCAATGGGGCGACATCAAGAAGATGTCGGTCGCCGAGGCCATTGGGCGGCTGCGGGCGTTCGAGGAGAACGAGTCCGGGCGGCGCCAAGACCAGGGCGACGACGGTGAGAAGTTGATGCTGGTCTCACGCGCGCAGCTGGAGGCACTGGTCCGGAAAGAAAAGAAGAAAGAAGAGGGCTCTAGCAACAGCGGCAAGGATGGCGACGGGCGTGGCGGTGGCCGCGGCCGAGATGACGACAAGAAAAAGCCCTGCGGCAAGTTTAACAAGTCGAAGATTACCTGCTTCGAGTGCGGGGAGAAAGGACACTTCAAGTCCGAGTGTGAGGCGTTGAAGAAAGAGAAGGCACTCCTTGCAGCTTCCGACGTCGACTACGAGCCGGGGTTACTGATGGCAGTGGCATGTGAGCTTGCATCGGGGGCGGAGGAGCAGGTCACGGACGTCGTCAAGCCAGAAGGTATCAAGGTGAATGAGGTGCTTCGCCCCTTAGCTACGGTGGCCGAGTTGGAGGCTTAGCTACGGTGGCCGAGTTGGAGGCTGCCACGGCTGAGGCTGAGCGGCTACGCGGTGAGTTAGCCACTGCAAATGCAAAGATGCATGTCATG